GATCCTTCGCGCGATAGGCTGCCCTGCAGGGGGGCCTTGTCACTGGCCGCGGCGCGCCCCCGCGCGCGCGCGCCCAGCTGCGCATCCTCCAGATCCGCGAGGGCGCGCTCCAGATCTGGCCCCAAGGCGCCCGCCGCGGCCGCTTGGGCAGCCCTCCTCCGCAGCTGCCGGCCCGCCTGGTCGAGCGGGATCCCGAGTAGGTCCGCGGTCGCACCCAGAGCACTGAGTGCCGCCGCTTGCCCCCCTCGCCCCTTGAGGTCCTCCGCCCGCGGGGTGTCCATGGATACCTCGAGGGGGTCAGGATCCTCGGCATCCTCGTTCGCACAGGCGGCGGCCGCCGCCAGGCGCGGTGGGGCCGCCACTGGGGCCGGGCGGGGCAAACCCTCCGTGCCGGGCGCGAGCTGCGCCCCATGGGCGCCGCCCCTCCAGTGGCGGCCGAGCGTGCGTCCCGGGTCGCGCTGTAGCTGCTGACGCTCCGCGCTAGTCAGGTAGCGCCGCCTCCAGCCGCTTGCGCTCTCCACGCCCGCACCGCCCCACTGCTCCTGGCGTAACATCGCCAGCAGATCCTGCGGGAGATGGTGGGCGGCGACACGCAGCCCCACCTCCCGCGCGCCTTGGGGGACCTCGTACAGCAGCCGATTGATCCAGTCAATCGGGTAACGCCCGCCCTCCAGCGGGGGCGGGGGCCGCGCGACTTCGCTGGCCGGGACCTCCACCCGGACACCCTCAAGGCTGGTCCCGATGATAAGTCGGGCGTCCCCGCCCGTGCCTCGCACGTCGTCCCTCGCATTCACCCAATAGAAAAGGCCAGGGACTCGTCGGGGGTGCGCCATAGGCATCCTCGGCCCCGCGGGGGCCGCTTGGGAGGATCGGGCAGACCTTCGCGAGGATGGGCTCCTGAAGCCACCCGTGATGGGCGATCCGATCGCCCGGGGCTCCACGGTCGGCTGACCGTGAGCGATCGTTGGCCCTCGCTTCCGCGGATCGCGATCGACGCGGCTGCGGGCCGGAGGCCAAGGCCTGGCTCAGCGTAGGATCGAGATCGACGGTCGGTGCCGCAGCGGGAAGGGGCGGCGCGGCGAGCGGTGGATAAGCCGCCCCCGGCGCCGCGCCCACCCCCTCGGCGGCGTGCGCGGTCCAATCGCGCGCCTTGGCAGGGCTCGGCACCCGCGCCCTCATTGAATGCGGCGGCGCTGGCCTCCGAGGACCCCCGGCTGGACCGTCGCCTCGACACGTGCGGTTGGGCCCTCGTCCCGTCGAAGGTGCTCGCCGCACATCGGAGCTCCTCCGCAGCTGCCCTTCGCCATGCGGAAGCAGGTGGGGAGGCTGCACTTGCGGCCGTGAGCGTGGACCGATACTTCTGAGCATGGTGGGCACAGAGATGCACCTGGGCGCCGAGGCAATGCCCCGGCCGAGGGACGTCCGATACCTCCGCGTCCTCTTGCAACAGGACAGTCGCCTCCTGCATCCCGCGGCCCCCGCGCCCCTCAGGCTGAAGGGGGCGTGCTCCGCCTGCCAGCTGCGCCCCAACTTGCGCGGCTTGGCATGGGCGCCCCTCCGCCTCCACTTCACTCTCCGAGTCTATATCCAGGCGGCGGTAACCCGCGGTGTCGGCGATGTAACGCGGCTCCGGCCGGGCACGGCACAGCCACCCGCACACCGACCACGGCAGGCAGAGCAGCCATTTGAGAAGCCCGAAAACCTTCGGGAGCCCCACGCCGACGGCCCGGCAGGCGGTGGCCTTCCCGTGCTCTGCTAAGTCCACGATCTGCGCGTGGTCGATGGCCGCGTACTGGTCGACATGCATGGGGTGCGCCACTGGGCAAGATGCGCACTCGACGGCACGGCGTAGATGCACCTTGCCGGTCTCCTCGAAGTTCAACCGCCACTCGCGGCTGGTGCACCCAAGGACCTGCCCGATCTTAATGTTGAGACCGTGGCGATCCAGCCGATACCTGTCCGCGAAGTTGCAGCTGACGCGGGCCACCTGCCCATGCTTACGCAGGAGCACATGGCTGCGCGCTCGATTAGTCCCCTGGCCGCGCACCCCCTTAATGTAGAACTCCGTTTCCACCGCGCCGCCTAGCCCCGGCCCGCGCCAGCGCGCCAGCATGGGTGCCGGGGGGGGAGGGGGGGGATGGGCGCCGGGCCCGTCGCCTCCGCGCCGCCGGCAGCACCATGTAATCTGGTACCACGCCCAGCGGAGTCCGTTAGCCACCCACAGCATAGGCTGAGCCGCCGTGTTGACGTTGAAGGCCAGGGCACCCAACACGAACGTGAAGATGCCCAACGCGAAGCAGAGGACAGCTGTCTCCCACCAGGAGCCAAGCATCTTAACGCCCAGCCGATCGATGGCGGATCCAACCCAGCCACCGCTCGTGCGGATCGTGCCCGTGTGGTCGGTGAGCTCACCCACGCACCGTAGCCCACGAACTCACCCACGCACCGAAGCCCCAGCCGGGCCCTGGCCCCGTCTCGGGGGGCGGGGTGGGTGGCGGAGGCGGTGGTGGTGGCGTCCTTCGCCCAGCCCACCAGTGGGGCAGGCGTGGTACCCAACCGCTCCATCCCCAGTATCCATCCGGCCCTCTCGGCTGGTCAAGCTCGCCATCGCCCGTCCGGTTCTCCGGTGCGGCTGGCTGCCCACGCGCGCCTTCTGACCCGGCGCTCTCCTCGCAATCCGGCGCGGCAGGGCCGCCCGTAGGCTCGCCCCCGCGTGCACGTCCGGAGCCCGCAGGGGCGGGAGCCGTCGTCGACCTCGCCTGCGGTGGCGGGGGGGTGCCTGGCACCCCCGGGGGCTCGGCCAGCGGCCCTCGCCCCTTCCCTCCCTCGGGCGCGGGCTTGGCAGGCGGTCCCCGCCCTTTGCCATGCCCCCCACCGCCCGCCGGTAGGGCTTTCGGCCCGGGCGTGGCCGGTGGCGTCGGCGCTGGGACCTCGTCCCCCGCGCGTCCGAACGGCAGCCAGCTCAACGCCCCCTGGACCGAGAAGGTACCACCCATAACCAGGATCATCAGGTGCGCCCCGAGGAAGCCCACAGCCATGGCACCGCAGCAGCGCCCCCTAGTCCGCAGACTAGCACGGCTGCGGTTATGGCGGCACCGCGGCCCCCTGGAACACCCGCGCGTCGGCCTGAGCCGAACGTTACGGGCCCAAAGTGGCTACCTGAGCCCACACCCCCTCCCACTGAACCTGCAGTCTACAAACCTATCAGACTATACAAGAGGACCGCGAAGGCCCACGGGCCCGCTGCGAGCAAGCAGGCTCGGAGTCTGGCGAGGACAGCTGAGCGAGAGAGGCCGCGCCCCAGAGTGGACTGCCGCGAGGCCTCCCCAATGACTGGTGCGGCTGCCAGGGGACGGAGGGAGGCCCCCCCCCGGGCCCGCTACGATCAGGCAGGCTCGGAGTCTGGCGAGGACTGCAGGGCGGGGGAGGCCGTGCCCCGCCCACCCCGCGGAGGCAGCAATACGTTGCGGGGTCAGGGCGTTTTTGCACAGCGGGAGGGATGGGCGGAGGGAAGGGGGAGGAGGATGGATCGAGGATAGAGGTTCTCCTTGCGCTTTTCTGTCCACTTTCGGACCTCTGGGGGTCTCTGGAAGCCTCCGATGGCTCCCAAAGGCTTCCTCGGGGACCTCTGGAGTCATCTGGAAGTCTCTTCCGGGATACCCACAACCCAGACGTCGTGACATGTTTCAAGCCCTGCGACTAAGCTACACATTGAAAACGACCCCCTCCATCTTTGAAGCTGTTGCGATTCCACCCCAGAACCTCATGGGGACCACGAGGATGAGGAGCAGCCGAAGCAGGAGCATGAGAAGGGAGGGAGGGAGGATATTCAGAGACAACATGGGAGAAGGAATTGAGCAGTGGGAGGTCGGGGAGGGGGAGGAGGGGTTTCAAGCAAGGCGGAGGGAAGAGGGATGAGGAAAATGGTCATGCGGCGCGACCCGGTTGGCCTCACCAGAACACCGCCGACCCCCCGCAGAAATCCCTGAAAAGCCCACTGGGATCCTCGAGGACCTCCCCCCCGACATTCAAAATCGTGGAAAGAAACACGAAACACGAAATTGCGCAACAAACGCTACAATAACCTAATGATACACGATTAGACTTGATGATTCGAGTCGGATCGGTCCGCGAGACCCAGGGCCCGAAACGAGGCAACATCGCTGGTCTTGAAGCTTCGACGGCGCCAGGATGTGTGAGCCTCCCGCCCCGCTTCCCTCCTTCTGGTCTCAAGGCAACCTCTTGCCATGTCGGAAAGGGCTGTGTACTTCCATCACCGCGTGGGCTGCTTCGCCTCGAACGCCACCCGCTGCCTGGGGCTCTCAGACGCTACCAGGGGTCTTCGATATTGAACGCCTGCCCGATCAAATCCGCGCATCATGCATCGTGAAATGTGCACGATTCAGGCCCCCAGAGCTCTGGCCACTCCGCCCGATGCCCTGTGGAAGCTCCTTGCGATGCCCCACGGACGCCTCTGAAGCCTCCACAGAAGCCCTTGAAGGCTCAAAACGATGCCCCCACTCTGAGGGCGTCGGAAGCTTGATGGGAACGGACCTCACCCTGGAGGCTCCTGAAGCCCCGCTGATCACCCCTGGAGCCCTCTTTGAAGCTAATTGGCCCTCGAAGAACCCAAGAAGTCATGTTGAGGCTCTTGAAGAAATACAAACACCTCTGGGCCAGCCAATGATGGAGGCTCCCCGAAAACCGCGGGGCCAGCGCAAGCGCTCTCAACCAGCACATTCAATCAACTAATTGCGTGCATGACACGTAAGGCCCTGGATGCACTCTGGAGCCTGCTGGAGGCTCCTCGCGAGTGTTCGGAGGCCCCTCTGATCTGCGCCCCCCCCCCCCCCCCACACACACACACAAAGAGGGCAGGTTGTGTGTGAGGCATGTTGGCGAAATTAGTTCGAGTGGAAGAGCAAGCGAGCACCAAGCACAAAGCTCATGGTACGCGTCCAGCCACACTGCATATCCGACGCGCTGGCCGCGCCACGCGCCTCGGGCTCCCGCAGCATCTGCACCAGCAGCGACGCAACGTCGCCGCCTCTGTGCGCAGCGCAGTCAGGCCAGATGCCAACGATCGGCCGAGCACCGGCTGGTACGAGGAAGCGAGAGGTGGAGCGGCCGATCAGACAGCATGGGCTGAGCCGATCGGCATCACCAATACGACGAGAAGTCATGCTAAGATTGGCTCAAGACACGTTCCAGGAAATCCAGAATATCTACTGGCTGTCGTACCTGCAGCCCGTGTGGAACATGGAAAATCCGGGAAATCTTGAAACGTATCATTATCATGACCTTCTGCTTCTCTGACCCAGGCAGGCGTGCCGCTGGCCGAGGGACCCCTATCAGCCGTGGAGCGATCGAGTCGAACGATGAGGAGACGAGCCAGGCTTCGTGACTGTGGGCTCGGCGCAGAGCGACGTCACGAGGCGACTGGTCTGCCTCGAGCGATCGCAGTGCCCACGAAACATCGCGAGCTCACCTCGGCCGCCGCCCTGGCGAACACGCAACGCCTGCGCAGCTACGCACGGACGCCCAGGCAACATACACAAACGCGCAGGGCCAACCACACGATCGGAGACGATGCGATCGGTTGGTGGCCGCGATCACGAAACATCAAAGAGGCACGAGGCCCCCGCGCGTGATGCGCCCCACGGCCACGTCCCCCTGGCTGAGGATGGGCCTCCCTGCGGGCCACTCGCCGTCGTCCTGGCAGGCGGTCGCGGGGGAGCGGTGCGAGACGTGGGCGAAGAGAGAGCCAGCGCCAGCTCGCCTTGCGGGAGCAAAACCAAAATCCTGACGGAGGAGGGCTAGTCGAAACAACGGCGGCACTCCTGACATTGTTGGTCATTTTCTGGGCCTTCTGGAATAGTCTCGTCGCCTCGGCTGTAGCCGCCTCGAGGAACCTGTCAGGATGGACAAGGGTCTCGGCTTTGATCTTGAGCCGACTTGGGCTGGGCGGCAGAGACCCCGTTGTCTCAGCTGGGCCTCCGCCGACATCAGCGACGAACGCGAGAGGCGATAGCCAACAAATACGAGGAGGGGCATGGTACGGCAGAGCCAGATGTGCGGCTGAAGAAAGCAACAGACAGCCTCTACGATGTGTTACACACGCCAGCACGACCTTCTTCGAACGTCCTCGCTCCCGCATCTTTATGTAGCAGGGGCACTGCTATCCTGCATCAGAAATTTGCTCGCGCGCGGCTCTGGATCAAGATGAACTGCGGCAGAATATATGGGAGACTTAAAATAAAGCTCGCCTGTATAAAAGAAACCCCGAAGTGGTTAATTGTCACGTACCCCACCCTGTGCAACAAATATCGCCTCCTCCCTCCTCGCCTTTTCGCGAAACTACATCGGTTCTCGTCCCTGGACGTAATATCCCGCCCACAGGTCCCTCAATACGGGATCCAACCAAACTCATAATAGGATCCCCGCAAGACCCTAACCGGGATCCAATGAGAGCCCAAAAGGGTTGCAACATCAACCTAGTAATAGCCCACCGGGACTCTGATAGGGCTCACAAAAAAACCCCAGATCCTAATAGAACTCCACCCTCCATTGGGGCCCTCAAATTGGCAAAACGGGCCGCCCTCCATCCGCGTGGATGGTGCAGAAGTTGAGCTTCGGCTCACATCAGCAAACTCTAGCCACGAGATGTCCCGAGCGAGAACCACAGTTTGAAAATGACGCGCCCTCCTCTCTTGGCTGATTCGATGCGCGAGCTAACTCAGACCATTGTTGCTCAGACTACCAGTTCTCTTCTGCCCAGAAAAAGCTGGGACAGGAGACACATTTCGGAATATGGGTGCCAAATGAAAACGGCAGTGCGGGGAATGCGCTGTTCCTGGGACTGAATGGCCCGTCAAAACCGCTGGGAAAAACAAGATGTAATCACAAGGGGTATCAAACGGAATCTACATAGTTGAGCGCGCAGGGGTGGGGTCTCAGATCGAAACTGTCTTGTTTCGTATCGTCGACAATCTAGTAAAATACATGTTACACGGTTGCTCAGGTTATACGAAGATACTACTGTCTAGAAACATGGGGGCGTGCCGTCGATTGCGGAACACGGGTGCTATGTAAATAACGCGAGCGGTCGGGAGGGCGATGTTTCCCGTCGTGGTCTACGCCCCACTAGAGCCGGAAATCCAGCATCTCTGATCAGGGGTTGCAAATCCAGACTACATGGGTAGAGGTTTGGCGTTGCATTGCCATCAGATCAGGGATTCTGCGTTGCACTGGAACCATTGGCATTGCACTGTCATGGTTCACATTGCTTTGCGTTGTTTTCCACTTCTGCGCGTTGTGTTGCATTGTATTGCGTTGCTTAGCGCTGTTGAAGTTTAGTCAGTCTAGCAGCTTCAGTTCCGTCTCCCCACCAGAAGATTGAATCAACGCCTCATGCCGAGACGATCAGGGGATCTAGGACGGAGGTTCGATCGAGGACGGAGGTGCGATCCATGGTTTGCCGATGGTACCCCCATAAATGTCTTCATGGTTATCGATCGCATGCAGCGTTGCTTTGCGATGGCTTTTTATGATATTGTCATTGATTCTTACACATGATTTGACACATCCAACGCTCTTGTAACATCCCACCCACCCACCTGCAACTTGGTTTGCAAAACCTCTCTAAGACCGACTGCGACGACACCGACGACTACGACTACAACGACACCGACGACGTCTCCGACGACTTCGACGACGGCAACGACGCCGACGCCGACGACGACGAAGACGACGACGACGACGCCAACGAAGACGACGACGACGGAGGACGAAGGACGACGACGGCGACAACGACGACAACGACGACAACGACGAGGGAGGAGGGAGGACGGCGACGACGCGAACGACGAAGAAGGAAGAAGGACGGCGACGCCGACGACGACAACGACGAGGGAGGAGGGAAGACGACGACGACAACGACGACGACGACGACGACGGCGACGAAATAGGAGGGACGACGACGAGACGCCGACGACGGACGACGACGACGACGAGGGAGGAGGAGGAAGGACGACCACGGCGACAACGACCATGGAAACGACCACGACGCCAAAGAGGACGACGACGACGAACACGAGGAAAGACAGAGGACGACGTAGGCGGCGACGACGACGCGGGAGGATGGAGGACGGCGACGACGACGACGACGACGACACAAGAGCGCGCGCGCACGCTTTTGTTGACAACCCGTGTTGCGAAACCTTGTGCTTTTGTAGGTTTTTTGGACACAAGATTTTGAAATCCTTCCGGAACCGATGGGTTTTGAAGGTTTTCGGCATACGCGCGCGACTACGCGCGCGTCTGCACATCGCCCCATTGTTTGCAGGGGATTCTCGCGACGGCACACGCGCAAGGGCGTTCGACAGATTTCGACATGCGCGCGCGCGAAGCCCGTTTAATAGCATTTCTCTGGGGGCCTCTCGACTGTTTACCAGCGAGAGACAAAGGCATTGAATATCCGACGCAACAGCCGTAGGGTTGACAGCCGAAGACATGCAAGAAAGCAGGCCCCCGCGGGGCCCGAGAGTATCTCTCCACAGACGAGCGAGACGTTGACAGAAAGACAGGCGAACGAGAAAAACACTGAATTCGAATTCTGAAACAGCTACCTCTGGACCTGCCGGTTTGAACTCAATCTCTTGGCCCAGGGTGGTGGTGGGGGCAGTGGATGGCAGATCTTTGAGCCATCGCAAGTACGGAGTGCTGCACTGGAAAATGGCACGTGACGGTATGCTACACAAGGCCACTGAGAAAACACATCAATAAGATTACAATTATCATGGGGGCCTCTCGACCGCTTACCAGCGAGAGACAAAGGCATTGAATATCCGACGCAACAGCCATAGGGTTGACAGCCGAAGACACGCAAAAAGGCGGGCCCCCGCGGGGCCCGAGAGCATTTCTCCACAGACGAGCGAGACGTTGACAGAAAGACAGGCGAGCGAGCAAAACACTGAATTCGAATTCTGAAACGGCTACCTCTGGACCTGGCGTTTTGAACTCAATCTCTTGGCCAAACCTCCCGAACTCCTCGGGGCTGGTCGCAAGACCGAGAACTCTCGAAGCGAGTGCAACAGCCGCTCAGGAAGGACTGTATCGGCGTGCTTTGCTTTTCGAATCTGGCCAGAATCACACTTCTCGAGTTGTTTCAACAGCTGGGCATGCTTCTCATAACGCGTGGCACTCTTGAAACTGATCCAGCGGCCACGTCTCTGGATCGCCTGCAAATCTAACTTTGCCTCGAATATGTCATTGGAGGGCCCTGAGTGCCGAAGCCAATGCGGCGAGCCTCCAACCGCCTGAAGCCTCGGGCGCTTGAGGGGTACCTTGAACTGTCTCTCATAGGTGGGCAAGTCGAAATCGAAGACACGCTGACCGGGGCGAACCGAGTCTTTGAGGGCCGACGCCGCATCTCGGACCCACTCCCGGCCACAGATTCCGACGTCGACCGCGTCGCCCACCTGGCCCGTCTTGGTCCGCCGCCCCGACTCGCCGGGGGCGAACGCCGCGGCCCAGCGGCCAGCAAAGGCTCGGCCAGCCGCGGGCTGACTGCGGAGGATGTCAGCCTCCGAGAGTGTCAGCGTCTCCGAGGGCCTGGAGTACAAGTCGGTCTGTGAGACGACACAAGCTGCCATGCGAACCAAGCCCCGATTCAGCAGGTCGAGAGCGATGGCGCACACCAACACCAGCGGGCATGGCAGCCCCATGGCGCCTGGATCTGCCCGCTCCCAGGCTTTCAGCTGACGGCGGGCGCGAGGCAGAAGCTGGCGACCATCCTGAAAACGATCGCCTCGCAGCAAGATCCAGCCATACAAAACATTGCGACCCGTCCCTGGGCCCATGCCATCGAAGAACATGTCGGAAAACCAATGCACCATATTATCATCAGCGCTCTTCGTACTGTTAGACTGCCTACCTTCTTCTCGGCGCCACTCCTCGAACGAGTCCACGGCGGAACGGTGGAGCGCCAGAGTAGAGGCTGCCACCGACATCTGCCGCGTGTACTCGACTCTGGAGCATCCGGTGCTGGCCACACGACGCCGTCGGCTGCTGGCCTTCGCCATAGCCGAGACCCGGCGGCGGGGCGACTGGAAGGTCGAGGGCCTCCCCGCGCCGTCGGAGCCGCGCCCGCTCGGCGGCGCTCGCCGTGCCGAAGTGGACGCCGTGCTGGCGGAGGTAGGCAACGGCGGCCCGACGCACCGCGTCGCAGCCCGCTGCTTCGTCAGCGCCCGGTACATGAGGCTCGCCAGCAGCACGCTGAGGAAGCCGTACCAGCGCCCGCGCAGCTGCGAGCCACTCGCCGTCCCAGGGGACATCAAGCCCCCGTGCTGCCAGAGGTGCAATCTCGCTCAGAACCGATGCCCAGCTCGAGCACAAAGTCGACGGATACTGACCCGCCAGAGCCGTGAGATTGCGCCAGACGTGACCTCCAGAGCCATCAGGCGCCCGAACTTTACCCACTAGGGGTACCTGATGACGATGGGTACAGGGAGCCGACAGGCCCCGCAGCTCCGGGATGTTCGTGAGCACCAGGGTCCACTTTAGATGCGGAGCGCCGTAAGCACACATAGGGAACCGTATCCACTGAGCACCTTTGAGGCCCGCGAGGCGACCAATAGGAGGGAAGCTCCAGAAGCCTCAGGTCCTAGGATTTTCAATACTCCAACCAACTCCACAGCGTTGACATTCTCGAACAACTTCTGAAGTAAAGAGAGCAAACTCGACCCCGAGACGCTCCAAGGTTCCAATTAGCTCGACGAAGGTTCCGAACTCCACGACGTGCGATACTCCAGGCTCGACAAGGCGTCCCGAGATGTATGGCCCAGATCCTTCCGGAACGAATCCACGATAGGACCAGCTGCTGTGTTTTTCTCCGGGTCAGGTCGAACTCGGCTCCTCGCTTGATGTCGAACGGCGCTGCAGACCGAAGCCCTGCAGCGCGGGCGGCAGCGGTCAGCCCCGCCTCTCCCGCAAACAGCTCCAAGAAAACTCGGGCCTGCGAGGTGGTGGGGCCCTGGAAGGCATTCCCTGCACGTGCTTTGGGCTCTCTGGGTGATGAGCATCTCGAAGAGGACGAGGACCCACCCACCTCGAGGCCAGTCGAAGGCAACCATGGGGCGACGACTTGCCGCTCCTTCTTTCTCTGATTTAGCCACTCAGGGTCGGGCGCCTCGTGCCTCCGCGACCCTGCGTCGGCGACATTCAAATCTGTCGGGACATGCCCGACCCGCCAGCGCACGCGGCAGCCCACGCTGTAGGCCGCCGCCTTGCGGCACAGTGAATTGAGAACGCGGGGCCGTGCTCGGCCCTTGTCAAAGCAACAGCAGCAGACGAGATTGTCGCAAAGGCTAAGGCAGCGGTGTCCGTGGTTGGCTCTCACGCGGCAGAAAGGCCGCAGGCCCGCCGCGCAGATCCTGCCCTCCTTCACGTTGATGTGCTCGTCGCACCGCCAATGGCCCTCGACGGCGGCGGTCCGCCCAGAGTCGTCGGTGAGAGCCTTCGGCAAGGCGGGCAGCACGTTCAGGAGCTCGATCTCCCGGCCTCGAGCCGGGGCCCCGACCCAGCGGCGCCGCTGGCCTCGCGCCTCGCCCGCGCGGCGGAAGAGCAGCTGGCCCAGCTCCGTCTCCCTCCGCGCACCAGCAGGCGCGCCACCGCGCACGTGTGGATCGGGGAACTTCGGCGCGCCCTCATCCAGCGTGGACCCGAAGCCGTCAGTGACGCCACGAAGCTGGTTGAGGTAGGCCGCGGTGTAGACGCCCGTGCTCGCCTCCGCCTCCACCTCCACGAAGCGCCAGCGCTCGCGCCAGCGGTAGGCGTCCCACACGGCCCGCCGCGGCTTCTTCCCGTACGTCAGGCAGAGGCCGCCCGTCGAGGAGTCGGAGACGTGCACCTCGTCGGACAGGGGGGGCGCCCGGGTCCACCTCGGTCAGGAAGACGGCGATCGCTGCCATGCGGAGCTCGCCCCGCACCAGCCTTGGGAAAGCCATGCGTCGCCGACTGCCGTCGCCGATGAAGTGGTAGACCTCTTGCAGGATGGAGAGGAGGCGCGGCTGAAGCCCGAGGAGCGACACGGCATGCCCAGCCCAGGTCCTGAGCTCGGCGCCGCTGGCCCGCCCACGCCTCAGCAGCGCCTTCGTGGCGAAGTAGAATCGCCGCATCCGCCGTGGCTTCTGAAGCACACGGCGGTCGGCACCGAACAGCACCAGGCCCAGGCTCTCGAGCTCCTCCACCGCGACCTCGGCCGCGCGCAGCCCCAGCCCAGCCTCGGCCGCCTGCCCCTGGAAGGCCTCCACGCCCTCCCGGGCGTCCGCCGCCGAGCCGCCGACGCCCGTGAAGTTGTCCACGCGCGCGGCGGCGAGCGGCCTGCCTGGCCGAAGCAGTGGGGCAGGACGCTCGTCACGAAGCAGCTGGCGATCGCCATCAACGCAGGACTGTCGGACCTGATGCGAGACGACCTCCTAAGCGAAGTCGAGAGCCCAGGCCCATCCCATGGGCAGGGCGCGGAGGCAAGGGAAGAGTAGCTCCCCTGGCCGCGCGGGCGTCCAGCCGTCCACGTCGTCGTCCCAGACCCGCTGGAGGTCGAGGCCCCACTCCTCGACGGTCAGCGGCGAGCCGAACCCGAACCAGCTGCCCATCTCCTCGTTGGCGAGCTGGCAGAAGCAGTCCTTGACATCGGCCCCGGAAAAGCGGGGCTCGCACGCGCCACCAAAGCCCCCGAGCGACGTCGCATAGCTGCTCAGGTCGATCTCCGAGAGGCAAGCTGCCCCTCCCAACACTGTCCGAGGCGGAGGGCGATGACGCATGTTAGTCGCCCTCGCATCGCAGATGAACCGAATGTTGCCGTCCTTTTTATGCACGAAGAAAGCGCCGCAGCGGGACTTGATGACCCGCCGAAAGCCCCTGATGCCGATCTTGGCAAGTCGGCAAAAAAATCACGTCGCAGCTCAGCGTCGCCTCGCAGCACTGGATCCCAATAAGGCTCTGGAAGTCCACCAACCTGCTGGATCCGATCTGCCGCCTCGGACGAAGTGAGCTCTATCTGGCTTCGAAAGTGTCGCAAAAAAACCTGCCGCCTCGGCGGGCAGCAACTCAGCCACTGGCACTGGGCGGATGTCCCCCTTGCACACCCGCAAGCGCGTGACGTCGTAGCTGGCCAAATGCTGCGGATCCAGTTCGTACTGGTCAGTGGATCTGAGGACCTCCCGGAGGGACCTCTCGCCGCCCACCGCTTCGCAAAGAGGGCCCCCGAAGAAGCCGACCCGCTCCTGGACCGACTCTAGCGCGCTGCGCTGCACTGCTGCCGGGGCACCTCCGTGCGGCCTAACACGTCGAGCTTTGTCGCATCCTGAATTCACACGCGAGGCGGCGAGGTAGTTGAGCATCTCAATTGCTTCCGAAGCCCGCCGCTGCCTCTCAGACCTGACCCTCCACCGCCGCATGGTAGAGCGTGGGGCCCCCATGGGCCTCGCCTCGACCTCCGCCACGGGCAACGGGAAGGGGTCGTTGTGGAGCCACTGGCCGCGAGGCCACCAGTCGCACTTGGGCTGGCCTCGCGCTCCACGCAAGGGGCGCCCATCGCCCTCAGGCCCGGCCGGGGAGCCCTGCTGATGAGCGCCAAGTGGGGGCGTCATCCCCCCTCCCCCCCAGAGCCTCCTGGGGGGGTGCTCTCGCCCTTATTGTCCTTCTTGCCCTTCTTGTCGCCCTTCTCATCGCGACGCCGCTTATCCTTGTCGTCGCTGCCAGGCCGGTCTCGCTCCAGCTCTTCCTTATGCAGTCGCGTCTGCTTCTGGATGTTCGCGCGGTCCTTCTGGCGGGCAACCACGTGCTCCAAGTACTTCGGCGCCGATGCTGAACCAGACGACTGCGCTGGGCCTGAGATGATATCCTCGAGCCCCGAGAAGTCGGGATGCAGAGGATCCCTGGCTACCGCCATCTCGATCTGCATGATCCGGCGCGCCGCCGCCTCCATGCAGTGGAGGTTCTTAACATTCAGCTGGTCGAGGCAGATCGCGCGGCGGATGATTTCCAACAGGACACGATACTCATGGTTCTGAGCTCCTCCTGCGAAGACGCCGCTCAGCCTCTCCCACTCAGCCTGGTAGGCCGTCAAGTTGCCTGTGCCGACGGGCACGCTCGTCAAGTACTCGCCCATCGCACGAGGACCGATGTCTGGGCTGTCCGCCAGCTCAACCTGCTCCATCATCTCGACAGCGTCACGAAAGTCAACGTCGCGACGGCCCAACTTCGAGCGGCGGTCCCCGAGTAGTTGGATATCCCCAACGCCCTCACGCGGGTCCCTCATCCAGTCGCCCTGCTCGTCGCGGCCGATCTTCGCGATCGTCCGCTCTGTGCCGCCCAGAGAGATCACATCCATCCGACGTAAGTGCACGCACCTGGCTGGGTTCTCCAACGCCTGCTCATCCAGCACCTCGCCGAACCGAGCATCACGCGGATCACTGATCACCCATGCCTGCGCCTCCCCCTCCAGCGCGTCACCAGCTCCGAGCAGAGCTGCTTGCTGTCTCGCCTGGCGCTTCATCTCGGCCAGCTCCCCTGGATCCACAGGGTGGAACGATTACAATCCAGCCAGCGCCCACGCGGGAAAAAGGGCGCCACGATCCAAGACATAATGGCGAAGAGAATTCAGATCGTGGCGCGCGATCTCCATGTCTGGCGTCAGGCACAGCCAAGCGCCATCACCCAGATGATGAAGCAAACCTCCTGGCTTGATTTAGGGCGGGGTTTTCGGACTCAACCGACTCAACCTGTTTTTGCGTCATCGTCATCATCATCGTCATCATCGTCGTCATGGTATTCATCATCGTCCGCGTCATCGCCATCATCATCACCATCTCCCCATCATCGTCACCATCATAATATCCATCATCATCTCCTCGTCATCGTCATCATCATGTAGTGATGATGATGATTAAATCAAGACCCGCATGACGATGATGGCGGCGTGAACATGGTGATGCTGATGATGATGATGATGACGATGATGATGATGAAGTCGATGTTTGCGATGATGATGGCGATGAAGATGATGATGATGATGGTGATGAAGATGACGATAACCTTCTTTCGGACTGCGCGGGCCGTGCTGAGTACTAACCGGAAAGCCCCACAGCCTCCGTGGAAGCGGGCCACCGCATTTCGTCAAGCACCTCCGCGAGGTCGGGCAGCGCCACGGGGACCCGTGCCAGGTGATCGGCCACGACGTGGTTCACGACGTTGAAGAACTCCTTCGGGCCAGGCGTGGCGTCGATCCTGCGCGCCCTGAACTCCCGAAAGACGTCGGAGCGGATCATGGCGGCGATCTGCAGCCTGCTGTCGTCTACGCGCTGTTGCAGCTCGTGGTGGGTCGCGAAACAGTCCTGGCAGTCCGCGGAGGCGTAGTGGTGCGCGTTGTGCTCGAGGGAGGACAGGGTGCCCATGTAGAAGGACCCAGGCTTTTGCTCGAGGGTGACGACCCTTCCGCAGGAGGCTGTGCTCGAGGGTGACGCCCCATCATGTGCTCCCAGGACCCCTGGGATCCTCACTTGCACGGAGCGCGTCCCGAAAATCGTCACGGCCGCGTGCAACAGGGAGCATCCGCCATCTGTGTGCCAACCATCGTCCCGTGCGCCTGGTTGCATGAGCTGGATCGATGCGTACGCGAACGCGTTGTCGGCGAAGTGCTCTGTCATGATGGGCTTTCCGTTATGCTCGACGATGGCAGGTGGCATGCGGTCGGCTTTGACAGCCTCGCGCATTTTGTCTCCCAGCTGTTGCAGCCACGGGCGCATCTTCTTCCGCAGCGCTCGCACGCAGGCGGCCATGTGCGGCGAGGGGGTGATCTGCAAATTCCCGTCCTTGTTGAGGCTGCGGCACTTTGGGGGGCTTTCGTCGTCCACGATGCCTGCGACCTCTGTGTTCAAGCCATTTGCCGCCTCGTCGCCTCGGACGCATTTGGCGACGATTGCCCCCGTGTCCAGGCGCTCATCGGCCAAGTTCTGCCAGCGCGGGTCTCTCTGCAAGAAGCGGAGCAAGTCTGGGTCCAACTCCGCCTCCGCTATCGTGCCCGTGCCGTTTTTCCCCTGCGCCATGGGGATGCGCACGTCGAGCTGGGCGCCAGCCGGCTGCAGGAAACGACGAGCCCTTAGACGACTGATTGTCGCTCTGGCGCCAGGGTGCCAAAGCAGGCAGCTCTCGGCGGCCTTCAACAAGTCTGGGGGGCAGTCTGCAAGTTCGTCAACGGGCCAGCGTCCTCGGCCGTCGAGTGCATTCGCTGTTTCAGCCTTTAGCCAATCCTCGCCCGACCGCTTGAACCACTTCTCAAAGAAAGGCAGGTTGTCCAGCCGCGGGGCCGTTTCCTGGTCCTCGTAATTATAGAAGTCTCCCGACCCTGGCTCCTTGCCTGGGATCCCCAAGACCTCCCTGCAGAAAACCACGAAGTCTTTCGGGTGCCCCCCTGGATGCCCGAGCGCGCCGCAAGGCTCTGGTTGGAACAACACTTTGCTCGTGTACAACTCCGCCATCAGGCGCCCGATGGACCACATGTCCAGGTCCTCTGAGTAGCGCTGGTTCCCCAAGAAAGCGTCTACCGCTCTGTAAGCAGGCGTGCATACTCCGAGGTCATCGCAGGTCGGGCTGTAGCGCAGTTTCTTCCTCAACCTGCCGTGGGGATCCGCCATCTCCACACGGCCGAGGTCGCCGAGCACCACCTGCGGAGAGGGGCGGATGGAGGAGAGGGGAGCGACGGCGACTGAGCTCCCCCTGGAGGGAAGGGCGGGATAGAGGGCACGACGACGGCATCTCGGGGGAAGGGTGGAACCTCCCTTGTTAGAACTCGGTGTGAGACCTAACATGAAGGCTAGTGATATAAACTGAGCTCTGACCTCGTATATGAGGGCGTCGTCGGAGCTCTAACATGCTATGTTAGAGCTCCATGGGAGCTCTAACGCGCGATGTTATAGCTCCATCGGAGCTCTCACATGCTATGTTCGAGCTCCCTGGGGAGATCTGACATGCTAGGTTAGAGCTCCCTGGGAGCTCTAACATGGTATCACGTTCCATGGTAGAGCTCCCAGGGCGCTCTAACATGGCATGTTAGAGCTCCATGTGAGCCCTGACAACTCGGGATCTTAGTCGAAGGAACGACAATGATGACGAGGATGACGACGACGAGGACGAGGATGACGAAGATGACAATGATGACGAGGACGACGAGGACGACGACGACGAGGACGAGGAGGACGACGACGAGGACGACGACGAGGACGACGAGGATGACGAGGATGACGAGGACGACGAGGACGACGACGACGAGGACGAGGAGGACGACGACGAGGACGACGAGGACGACGAGGACGGCGAGGACGACCATAACGACGAGGACGAGGAGGACGAGGAGGAGGAGGAGGACGACGACGACGGCGACGACGACGGCGACGTCGACGACGGGCGCCTCGAAGGAACTCGGGATCTGCCAGTCGAACTGCAGCTTGCTCTTTGGGCACGGCGCGACGGGATCCCATTCGCCAAGCTCACGTGATACAAGTGCCTGCTTCTCGAAGCAGCCGCGCGTCTGCGGCGATCCTCGCATCAGGATGTTTGCGGGCTTGATGTCGCAGTGAATGCGGCCCCTGCCGTGCATGTACTGGAGCCCTTCGAGAACGCTGTTCAGGACGTGGCGCATCCCTGTCTGCGTGAAGGAGGACTTCTTGAGGAATTGGCGGGCATCGATCTCGAACAACTCGTACACGAGGCCGATGTGCTCCGTCCATTTCCAATCTATCCTTGGCACTGACTGTTGCAGTTCTCGGTGCGCTTTCTTCGGGGCCGTTGCAGTTCCTGGGCACAGCCTCCTGAAACGGCCCACGTCGAGTAAGCGAACGAGACGCGGGTGCGTGCCCACAACACCGTGGCGCGTGACCTCATCCAGAGCCCCTCCGACGGCATCCGCATTGAACCCCTTCTGCGCATCGCTGGGGTCGCCCCGCAGCATCTTGATCGCAAGGCCAGTCTTGTCGCCCCGTCGCGTGCCCAGGTAGACCTTGCCGAAAGAGCCCTGACCGAGCTCCCCTCCTTTCCACTGCACGTCGTACTCGAGCGGCAGGTCCTCGCACTTGCCATTCTGTTTGTTTTGGTACGCGTGCCCGACCGCGTCGAGCTTCAGTGCAAGTAGATTCACACGACCCTCGCCGTGGGACACCGCTTTCGGACCAGCAGACCCGCGACGAGCAGCTGCCGGTGGCGTAGGTTCCGACGCCCCGTCCGCGGCGGGAACGAGCACCTTCCCCAGCGCGTCCTCTAGGGTTTCTCCTGCGACACCGTGGCCCTCGGCGACAGCTGGCTCATCTTCTGCAGCGTTAGCTGTTCCAGCCCATTTCGCGCACCCTGGCGCCCCCGCAGGCTTGCTCACATAGTCTTTCCAGTTGGCGCCCAGCGCAATCTTGAGGAGCCGCGTGCAGGTGTCATGCGAAACTGGCTTTGGCCACGTCAACACACATTTGTTCTTCGTTACCTTCTCCAGCGTCACTTTTGCGGTCGGGGCCCCTTTTGCCACCCTGGCCATGCTATTGCTGCAGGTCTCCCTCAGCTTCTTGTTGATCTTGTCGTCGTTCGACCCGTCACCCTGCAGGTAACAGCCCCACTTATAGAAGAGAACCTTGTTCCTGTCGCGACCGCTGCCGCCCGAGGCAGCCATCGCCGCGGAGGCCCGCTGACGGCGGTGTCGCCCGTGCGGGCACGCTAAGTTTCAGTGAACCGAGACGCCTGCGGGCTCCTCCTCCGCCCCCCCCCCCCCCCCTGCGGCCGCTCCTCGGAGTGTTGCTTCCCGTGTCTTCCCTACCCTGCTGCGCCCCCATCCTGGCCCGCCCCTACAGAGCGCCGTCAGGATGCAAGGGCCTTGGCGGCATGGTATCTGTTCGGAACGGAAAGCGTAGGATGTAAGGGTGCCCTTTGGAAAGGTAAGCATCCTGACTCTGCGCCTTGCCTGCGCCGTGGGCCAAGTGCGACGGATGGCGACGAAGGGGTGGCGGAGGACTATGTTCCTATCTGTGCGCAAGGTGCCGTGTACTGCACAAGCCAGAATGTGGCGCGCGTCCCATTGCGAGAACGGAGGCGACGCCGCCAGCGCGCGACTGCTGCAGTCCAAAATCAAACAAGTGGCAGCTCCACGGGAACAGGAGCGTGCGGGCCGGCTCCTGCGTCGGAGCTGTCGAATTCTGTTGCAGCCTGTGCTCAAGCCTGTGCTCTGTTTCAGCCTGTCTTCGGCTTCTTCTTCTTCTTCGAGGCCGAGGAGTCGTCTGAGGACGAGGAGTCTGAGGTCGAGGACGCGTCGGCGTCGCGCTTCTTACCCTTCTTACCCTTCTTCTTTTCATCATTCTTGTCCTTCTTCTGATTATCATTATTGTCCTTCTTCTTGTCCTCCTTCTTGCCCTCCTTCTTGTTGTCTTCCTTCTTCCCATCCTTCGGGTCCTCCTTCGGGTCCTCCTTTGTCAGGCGCAACTGCGCAGAGCGTGCAAGCAGGTCCTCGTTCACGAACACCATGGT